GTCCCAATAAACCTGGGGATCATTTTCTAGAATCAGGATCAGTCTGAACAAGTCTGGATAAAGTCTGGATAAATCTGGATGACGCCTGGAAAACTCTGGATAAGTCTGGATAATGTCTGGGAAAGTCTGGAAACGTCTGGAAAAGGCCTGGAAGCTTCTTGAAATGGTTGGAAAAATTCTGGAAAAGGTCCCAAAAGACATGGGGATCATATTCTAGAATTCGGAGCAGTCTGTACAAGTCTGGATAAGGGCTGGATGAATCTGGATGAAGTCTGTAAAACTTTGGATAAGTCTGCATATTGTCTGGAAAAGACTGGAAATCTCTGGAAACGTCTGGAAAAGGCTTGGAAATTTCTGGAAAGAGTCGGAAAAATTCTGGAATAGGTCCCAATAGACCTGGGGATCATTTTATGGAATCCGGATCAGTCTGAACAAGTCTGTATAAATCTGGATGAAGTCTGGAAAACTCTGGAAAGCTCTGGATAAGTCTGGATACTGACTGGAAAAGTCTGGAAACGTCTGGAAAAGGCCTGAAAACTTCTTGAAAGGGTCGGAAAAGTTCTGGAAAAGGTCCTAAAAGAACTGGGGATCATATTCTAGAATTCGGAGCAGTCTGTACAAGTCTGGATAAGGGTTGGATAAATCTGGATAAAGTCTGTAAAACTCTGGATAAGTAAAAAGTCTGGATATTGTCTGGAAAAGTCTGGAAATCTCTGGAAACGTCTGTAAAATTCTTGAAAGGGTCGGAAAAATTCTGGAAAAGGTCCTCGAAAGACCTGGGGATCAATTTCTAGAATCCGGATAAGTCTGAACAAGTCTGGATAGGTCTGAATGAAGTCTGGATAGGTCTGGATGAAGTCTGGATAGGTCTGGATGAAGTCTGGAAAACTCTGGATAGCTCTGGATGAGCCTGGATAATGTACCTTATGATGTATCATTTTCTGTTATTTTAACAGCAACGTTAAGTTATCTGTCACTGTTTATTCTACACGTAAAAATAGAGACAGGTATACATTTTGAGCTATAACACAACAGTTAAAATAACAGATGAGGATACATCATAGGCCTGAATGTCTGGAAAAGTCTGCAAATCTCTGGAAACGTCTGGGAAAGGCTCGGAATTAACACGCTTTTATTAGCTTCACCTGTATATATGTTTGTTTGGTTGTTTGTTTGTATGTTTGTAAGTAACTCTCCTTTGGATTAAAAGCAAGTGGCTTATTACTGTTGTATAAACAACTACACAACAAATGTTGATAAAATCAAATTATTTGAAAAGCAGTTTTCAAGTATATTCCTCTACCTTAAGTTCGTTCGTTGGCCGAACGGGTCTTCGCTGACGACACCTCCCAGACTCACCAAACAAAATATATTAGAATTATTGTGAAAAAATCATGGGGTGATCAATGTACGAGAAATGTGGAACAAAGCACTCCACGCTTTTTTCACAAAACTTTAGCGCCAACTGTAAAAATTGATAACTGTAAAAAATGAAGACATTATAACTTAACACATTTTATTATAAGAGCAAAAAAGAATGCATCTACTTATTGTTTATTACATTTTTCAGTTTTTAGTTCGATATATTATTTTGTTCTTCATTTTTTTAATTTGAAGAAAAAACTTTTATTCTAAATTATAACGTATAATAATTATTTCTAATTTGAATAATAATAAATAGTGTAAAACCTTAATATAACCATAAATAAAAAATATATCAACAAAAATAGACCTACAATAAATAAAGAATTAAAGAAATAATATAAAATATCAAAAACAATTACAATAAATATAGGTACATAAATGAAAGAATCATCAAATGTCAAAAATCTCGTCCAATCCTTCGTCCTTCTGAATGGTACCCATCACTGAAGCCGCATTACCTCGTTGAATTGCTATGCCGATCCTCTGAGTTAAGAAACTACGTGACTGATTAGTTTTTATTTTTTATTTTATTTATTTATTTATTCTTATTTGTGTTTTGTTTATATTTGGTGGGATTATGGAGATTATGGGAGGAATGGTTGACATTGTTGACATAAAGACACAATCACACCGCAGCCACACCAAAAAATTATGGTGTGACCGGTGCGACACTTGGAGCGCGCCCAAAGTACTTTCTGAACGGCACAGAGTGCGCGCACTCGGTGTGCCTATAGCATTTATGAATGGCTAGTGCTGCGTCTTGTGGGGTCTCGCAATTACTCTACTCGACGTACCACTTGATAAATATACTGGTTCATAGTAAAGCACAATAATTATTTTAGTTATATAACTTTTATTTTATTTTTGGTGTTAACAAAAGTCAAAATGCAGACCGGAGATATTTTTCTTACATCTCGACGGTATTCAAAGGTAGAAAAGAATCGAATCAATAATTTCTTGGCTCTTAGGGCCATCGGCATGAAGCCGTCGGTAGCCAAAACAAAACGGCGTTGCCAAATAAAAAGAAATGATTATAATTTTCGGTAAATAATAAAAAATAATTTACAAACTCAACAGCTAGTGCGTCGCGCCGGTGTCACACTCACATTGAGTGTGTCATTCCTGAATTCGTCCCAGATATTTCCAGACTTTTGCAGACATTATCCAGACTTATTCAGAGCTTTCCATAGTTTTCCAGATTTCATCCAGATTTTTCTAGACTTGTGCAGACTGGGGGGTGCGATTTTCGAAACCATTCGAGTACATTCCGTACACGAAATTTCACTGACAGCAATGTAAATTAAATGGGGAGCAGACAAATTTCGTGTTCGAAATGTACTCGAATGGTCTCGAAAATCGCACCCCTCATCCGGATTCTGGAAAATGATCCCCAGGTCTATTGGGACCTTTTCCAGATTTTTTCCGACCCTTTCAAGAAGTTTCCAGGCCTTTTCCAGAGATTTCCAGACAATATCCAGAATTATCCAGAGTTTTACAGACTTCATCCAGAAGTTTCCAGGCCTTTTCCAGACGTTTCCAGAGATTTCCAGACTTTTCCAGACATTATCCAGATTTACACTGATCTTTCCAGAGTTTTCAAGACTTCATCCAAATTTATCCAGACTTATTCAGAATGATCCGGATTCTGGAAAACGATCCCAGGTCTTTCGGGACCATTTCCAGATTTTTTGCGACCCTTTCAAGAAGTTTCCAGGCCTTTTCCAGACGTTTCCAGAGATTTCCAGACAATAACCAGACTTATCCAGAGTTTTCCAGAGTTTTACAGACTTCATCCAGAATCATCCAGACCTTATCCAGACTTGTACACACTGCTCCAGATTCTAGAAAATGATCCCCAGGTCTTTTGGGACCTTTCCAGAATTTTTCTGACCATTTCAAGAAGTTTCCAGGCCTTTTCCAGACTTTTCCAGACATTATCCAGACTTACACTGATCTTTCCAGAGTTTTCCAGACTTCATCCAGATTTATCCAGACTTGTTCAGACTGATCCGGATTCTGGAAAATGATCCCCAGGTCTATTGGGACCTTTTCCAGAATTTTTCCGACCCTTTCCAGAAATTTCCAAGTCTTTTCTAGACGTTTCCAGAGATTTCCAGACAATATCCACACGTATCCAGAGTTTTACAGACCTTATCCAGATTTATCCAGACCTTATCCAGACTTGTACAGACTGATCCGGATTCTGGAAAATGATCCCCAGGCCTTACAAATAAACATACTTTGTAAAGGCTTATTTAGTCAATGTGAGTACAGTGATCTCCCCTAGCGCCATCTATTGGACTTTATATTTGATAACAAAAAAAAAACCTTCAGTGGCGCCATCTGTTGATAATTCTCTGCCCTGGCGGGCGGTGACGTCATAATTTTTCAGCGTCCGTTTGAATTGGTGGGTAATGATATCAAATTTTATTATTTTTTGCTTTTTAAACTGTGTCGTTCAGGTAATTATTTTTTCATTATAAGGGCTTATTTTGATTGCATAAATCGAACAGTGCAATGAAAATAGTTAAATTCAACTATGCTTAAACACCGGATTGAAATACTACTGGATCATTTTGCAACTTGTATTTTCTATATTTGGGTTTTGGGTCAAATTTTTAGTTCCTATATATGCACCCTAAGAATTCTTGTTGAACAGTTTTTTTAGTGTATCAGCCAGGTATGTTTTCTTTTTGTCAAATTGTTTATTTATTACGAAGATCTAATTTTGGTCGTGGCACTATCGAAGACTAGGATTCAGCACCTAAGTACTTCCTTCTACTTCTACTTTACCTGCAGGCACTAAACTTGGGTTGGGTTTCTTTGCTTTTCTAACCACACTGATGAGATCTGATAGATCGAAACGCGTCTGTGGATGGAAAAGCGAAGAAAATTAATCCAAAATGTTCACATTGTTCATTTAAGTTTGTAAATGGTATTTTTCTCTGCAAAAATAAAAATGTCCAGAATATATACCGTATGTCCTGATATTTTAATACCCTCGTCCAGAAAAATTAAAAAACAAAGTTGGCAACTCTAGCTTGAGCACCTCAGGGCGCAGCAGACACTTTTTGAAAGGAATAAGTGCGTAAACCCCCGAAGCTGTTCCAGAGCTCCTCCTAGGTGTGAAAGGAATAAGAATACAACTATTGTAGTCAACACAAAAAGGAAAGTAGTTGAATTCCTTTCACACTTAGGAGGAGATCCGGAACAGCTCCGGGGCGTTACACACCTATTTTATTCCTCTCGAAAAGTGTATGTTGCACCACGCATCTCTTCCTTTCAAATCGGGGTCGACTAACACCGGAGCGAGTAGTTCGAGTCTTCCAAACTCTTGAAAGGAATACAACTAATTTCGCTCAAAATTTGTGTGCCAATCTATTTTTCTCACCGCAGAAAATCATAGATATAAATAAGAATCATATTTTCATCAAATGTATGGAGGTTCATAGTCTAAAGACTCACCTCTCTGTATTAGGTTTTAAACAGCACTTGAAAATTGATAACTTATTTACTATTTGAAAATGTGAATGCAGGCATCTTTGGAAAATTCTCGGGTAGTATCTAGGACTGTTTTAAAATCGCTCGTTCACTACCCAGGGCAAGATTGAATGAGCGCGCTCCAGGGTGAGCTTTGATTTTTGACGTTGACAATTTGCTTTAAATTGTCATAAAAAAAATCCAAATAATTAAGTTACTAGTTGAGTTGATTGTCGACTTTTAACCGTTTTGTTTTTATTTTTAAGTTCAGTTGTTTAATTTTCGTAGTGTTCCGTAATAAAATTCATGCAGGTGAGTGATAATATAGAGCTGTATCTATTTGGCTTCCATTGATAATATTTGAAACTTGCTTCTATTGTGTGTTTACTAGTTTTTCTATCGATTGTTTACTTTGATTTGTATGCCACTCCCAATCAAATGTTTTCGATATTTTATAGTTCTCTTTAATTTTCTTCCAAATTGAACATTAATATCTACCTAGTTAACTGCAATGGTTAATTTCTTAACATGTTCAACATGATAACTTTTATCATTTTAGCATTTATCCATAATCATAACCAATCACTTAGGTATCCATGATTCATGACTCAGGTATCTGATCAGGGTACTCATGTTTTGATAAACAAATAATAATTGATCGTTGAAGGCTATTTTATTGTACTTAAGTGTCCATTTTCTTCCCTGCATAAACCTATTTATTAGAAATTTTAATCACCCCTATATCAAAGGTTTAAGTACCTACCTACATTTAGGCCAGTGCAGTTACCAAAGCCATTACTTTTTAAAAAGGTAAACATCATGCAATAGCAGCATGAAAACTGTTGCGAAGGGAAGAAAATATAGCACAATCAACGGAAAAAACACATCAAAGTCAATCTGAACTATAAGGGTGAAATGATGGGGTTAACTTTTGGGGGTGGAAGATGTTTTTTTTTTTAAAGATGCCCAGCAAAACTAGACCTCCCATCGGAAGATCAAAACTCAAAAGCCAACGCAATTCCCCAAGGAATTTTCAGTGAAGGCAATGCAAAATGATTTTTTTTTAACAGTTTTTGATTTTATGTCCCACAATTTTTTTTTCTTCACAAAATTTGGTGGAAACTTACCTTTTTGTGTCCCAAACAGGCAGACATTTTATTTTGACTTTATACCTAAAAAGAGGCCTCATATTCGCCCGAAAATACCCATGTGCTGGAAACCGTTTTAAAAAAACAACACAGTGATCTTTTTTTCCTCGAAATGTCTATCAAAAAACATTGGGGAAAATTTGCCAGGGAATGCGAAAAACTGAAAAAACTGATTTTAAATAGGTAGTTGCTTTGCAAGTTATTTTTCAAGAAACGGAACTTGTATATTGCAATCCTAAGAGATGGCCGCTGAAGACGCAGCAAAACAACATTGTTACAGGCATACTATCAGCTTCAATCTTGGCTCGGTAACAAACTAACAGCAATATCAACATGGAATTATGCCCAAAATGATGAGGACTTGATTCCTGAAATATTGCTTGAATCTATTTGCTGCAGCTGTGAAAGTGGATGCAAGATTCAAAAACACACTCTGAAATGAAATGCAAAAATTTAGGTTTTAACTACCATGGTTCTAAAGATGTTTTTTTGTTTAAAAAGAAATCTACGAGAACGTGAGTGAAGTTCAGAAGAAATCATGAACCAATAAATATTAGGCAATACAGTGGATTTGGCGGTATTGAAGATTTGAAAGATCCATTGGAATCTAAAATTTTCCAAAATCAAATCAGTAGATGAATAAATAAAATGAAGTTTTTTCCAGTTTTCTGCATTTCCTGGCAAATTAAATTTATGTTGTTTATGAACATCTGACTGAGGAGTGAAATGGATGAGTGATGAGTTGTGTGCATGTTTAGTATTCAATCTAGGCTTGACCGAGGTCTTGACCTAGGTACTTTATTACATATCATCCTTGATATCATCAGAATATCTTCAAATACTAATATGTATTATATTATAGTCAAGAATATAGTGGACCTATTGGCTGGAATTATTTTTTTTACTTATATCTCTAGAGATACCCTGTCTTAAGTAGTTCTGAGAGATTGTACAGATAAGTAAACTGGTAGGGAACAGTGATCACACAACTATCTTTCTAATGAATAATCATATTTCTTTTTTTCTAGGGTAATTGTTGCCTTATTTGACAAGCTGACAAAAACAATGCATCACTGAAAAGTATTCAAAATGCAACAACCTTTGATTTTACTATTAGTTCACATCTTTCAAGTACTTTGTCAAAGTCCAGAACAAAATGCCTTAGACTATCCTAATTTTGCACCAGACAGCTATCAACATCCAGGTAGTAATCAATATTATGGAGATTTACAGTGTCCAGAATACTGGATACCATATCAGCAATATTGTTATAAATTAATCAAGTCACCATTAAAGAAGTTTGATGATGCTAGGGTCTTATGTCAAGTAAGTCAATTTATTCAAGTAGGTACAGGAAGGTTACATACTGTATATTTTTCCACTCCTCCTTCAAGATTGTTCGTAAATTTATCAAGAAAATGTGAATCCAAGAGTTTTTTTTGACAAATGTCAAATTTTGACAGATTTTCAATTTTTTTAAATAGAGCAGGCTTTATAATATAATGGTATTAAGTATAATAACCTCGATAATAACTATTTAAAAAGGTACTTACCTATATATGCCTATGTGCTATGTTCATCCATCCATTTTCAAAATATCTTGTTAATTATTGTGTATAAATAATGCTGTCATGTTTCAAATATTTTTAATTTTCATGTATTTTGAATAGTACTGTTAACTCTAATATGTCTTGTATTTTAAAAGTTCTGTGATTTGTGTAGTTCATTTTAAATAATTTAAGATAACTTTTTCTACTCTATTGTGACTTGAGGAATAATACTCTGTATTAATTACTTGAAATAAGTACTTGAATTGAATTGAATCTGATGCGCATTTGAAATTTTCTTGGATTTTTTTTTTAAAAATTATTGTGTAATTATTTAATTATGTATTTGATTCATTAGTCCAAGTCCTGACGTCTCAGGTTCATCGGAAAACACATCCATTATAACCATAGCCTTAATACAATGGGTGGGGGGTGCAAAAATATCTCGAAACCCTGTACAGTACATGGTCATTTTTTCTATTTTCTCACCCCCTCAACTTTTTTGTGCCACTGTGTATAAAAAAAATTTAAATAAGAAAGGTTTGGGTTTTACAGTCTATCAAAGAAGTCAATTTTCAACTGTCAATATTTCCGAAATAGTTGGAGATACGTATAGGACATTGTCAGTGAAATATGTCTAGAATTTTCTGCAGAATCTAGAAATGTCATGATATACAAGGTGTCCCATTCAAAAAAAATATATGTATATTTTTTGTGTTTTAAAATTTCTGTGACACCCTGTATCAAAAAAACTATGCTTTCTGAGAACTATTTTTCACTACACCTTTCCTATTTACATTTTTTTTTATACACAGTGGCACAAAAAAGTTAAGGCGGGTGGGAAAATATAAAAAATGACCCTGTACATGGCACATAAAAAATTAATTCTAATATACCAATTTGCGTTTATCTTAGGCATATGCTGGCGAACAAGCTGAAAGAAGTTCATCAGATTTAGTATCCTTAAGTTCAGTAGATGAACATAGTTTTCTTATACAACAACTTAACCACTATGATACACAGCATCGGCGCTGGTATATTGGAGCCCATCAAACATCGCTAAATTTCTACTCTAATCCCGATGGTTCTCAGTTACCCCCAATGGAAAGTGCCTTTTTTAGAGATGAAACACCAAGGGATTATGGTTCTCCAATAAAAGATTTTTTGGTATATAAGTTTTCTAATAATCTGATGCATTGGGGTTTGGAGACAGTGGTTGGTGATGAACCATTACCTTTTATTTGTAAAGCTAATGTGGCTGCTATTCAACGGCTGAAAGATGATGGGAGGGATTACACTTATGGAGCTGAAATATTTGATACCGAACGAATTCCAAGGGGGCCTTATTTTATTAAACAACCAGTTGATGCTATATTTGATACTTCAAAGCGGAATCTTTATAATGACATTAGCCTAAGCTGCTCGGCTGGAGGATACCCAACACCTACATACAAATGGTATAGAGAAGAATATGTATCTGATAAATTAGTACCAAGAGAAATAGATCCTTTAGCAGATGGAAGATATACAATTAGTGGTGGCACTTTAATCATTCATGATCCACAACAAAAACGAGATAGAGCTACTTATCATTGTAGGGCAACTAATAAATTTGGAACAATTATTTCTGAAAGTGTCGAATTAAATTTTGGTTTCATCTTGGAATTTGTCCTCAAAAGAAGTCCAGAAGTTGGAGAACTAAATTGGGGAAAAGCTATTTACTGTGATCCTCCAAATCATTTTCCATCTGTGAAATATTCCTGGTCTAGAGAATATTTTCCTAATTTTGTAGAAGAAGATAGAAGAGTTTTTGTTTCAAACGATGGAGCCCTATACTTTTCAGCTTTAGAAACTATTGACCGGGCTAATTATAGTTGTAGTATACAATCTGAGTTTTCTGACTCTGGTAGAAATGGACCATTTTTTCCTCTTAGAGTTAATCCACACTGTGAGTTATACATTTCCAAAACATCATTGAAATAAGCATAAGAAAATCTATTTTAGCTAATTATCAAACACTTAAGTTTCCTAACAATTTCCCTAAAGCATTCCCAGATACTCCAATTGCTGGAAAGGAAGTGAAATTGGAATGTGTTGCTTTCGGATAGTGAGTATTTTATAATTTTATTTATTGCAACATTACTGATTGTATAATTTAGCCCAGTACCAAGTTACAATTGGACGAGAAAAGGTTCTGCCAGCTTTCCCAGAAATTCCTATTTCACTAGCTACAACAGAATCCTTATAATACCAAATGTTAAAGTTGAAGATCAAGGAGAATACAGCTGCAGAGCTTATAATGACAGGCAGAGCATTGAGCATTCAGTTATCCTTGATATTCAAGCAGAGCCCAATTTCACTATTCCTTTAGCGGATAAACATATTGATAAGAAAGGCGAATTGATATGGACTTGCGAAGCATTTGGAATTCCCGATGTAAATTATACTTTTTACAAGGATGGAAGGGCGTTGTGTAAGTTGGAATAATTTAGTTTTTAACTGATTTCAAGTAGGTTTTTAGTTTTTAGCAATGTATTTTATTTTGTATTTATTCTGGCCAGTTAATGTGGAATGCCAAAAACTAATTAGGATTCAAACACCTGTTTTTTTAGGATTGCTTTTTGAGTTGATCCCACACAAAATTGAGATTAAATCCGTTTTCAAAAAATAAATTAAATATTCTATTCAGAACGCGTTTCATGCATGTAAAAAAGCTAGTTATTTATAATATAGCAATAAGAAACAGGTGCGCTGCAGCTGACAGTGTGGAGCAGGTCGACGCTTGATGAAGGGCTGGATGAATTTTTAGCTGTTATAGTTTGATAGTCAACACTTTTCTAGAAACCGTTATTATGTACAGTTTTCTATATCTCAACTTCCTTATTCAGCCATGTTGAATTTGGATCCAGAAGACCGAGGCCGTATAACCATAAGAGATAACGTCTTGACCATCAACTTCCTTAACGACAAAAGGGATCCTGGAATGTATCAATGCAAAGCTGCTAACACATTAAAAACAAGATACTCTTCTGCACAACTTCGAGTACTAGCCTTCCAGCCATCTTTTAAGAAAAATCCCCTAGAATCTGAAACATATGCTGCCGAAGGAGGAAATGTAACTATCAAATGCAATCCAGAAGCTGCTCCTAGACCTAGGTTTGTATGGAAAAAAGATGGTATTGAAATAGGACATGGAGGACACAGGAGAATTTCTGAAAAGGGAAATTTAATGCTATCGCCAGTGTCAAGGGATGATGAAGGCGTTTACACTTGTATGGCAAGTAATGAACTTGGTATGGCAGAATCAAGGGGCCGGTTAATTGTGTTACGTAAGTAGTCATTTTATTGGATGTCATAAACTACCAATAATATTTTCATTAAGGTGGTCCAAGAATTGTTGAAAGCCCGGCGCAAACTATTGTCATTGTGAATGGCCGCAGTATCGATCTCCAATGCTATGCAACAACTGATGAAATGCTTGATATTGCTTATATGTGGGCTCATAATGGTTTAAGAATTCGTGATTTGGATGTCGTCAACTCAAATGACAGAATAGTAAGTCGGATAATGAATGGGTACATTCAGGCGATGCCAGCGGCTAAGTTCAGCCACTCAGCAGGGACTTTATTATCGAAACAGGGGAGCAGTGTTCTCATGAGAACGAAAGGTTCTGTGTTCGTCGTCCGTATTCATATTTCCATAACACTGGCAGTGACAGAGCAATCGTTCTTACGATAACGCCGTTCCTCGGTTTCAAGAATAAATTCCCTGCTGAGTGGCTGAGCTTAGCCAGTGGCACCGCCTGAATGTACCCATTATTTATTTTTCAGTAGAAGTATACCTCAATACCAATTATTTGTTAAGTTTTAAGGCGAGTTTAAACAACTTCATAACTTTAATTTAGTGCGTAATTCACAATTAAGTGCATAAGCCTAAAAGTTAAATATATTATTTTCAATTCATAATTTAATTCATAATGGATAACCTTGAAAGTTCCTAACTTTTAACTTTTATGCAATAAATTATAAAATAACTGTATATAAATTTTTAAATATATTAATAGATATTAATGACATTTCAAAAATTATGTTTTAAATCATGAAGTTGTTTAAACTAGGGTATTGAGTTATGTATTAAATTACGCAGTAAATTATGAAATAATTATGCACAAAATTTATCAAAAGCTGTTTAAATCCGCCTTTAGTCTTTCTACAGTCTCTAATTCCCATCACTGGTCATTAAATATTTTTACTCGAGCACATCGTCTGATATTTAATTACATGCTGGAAACTTCAATATACATAACTATTTCTCAAGGCCTCAAGTGCAACCTCATTAACACGTTCGCGGACAGTACGGCTAAAGCCGTCATATTCTTCCCCCTTGCCTAGGACATGACGTCTATACCAGTCACCCCAATTTTCTTCTATAAGCAAATAACGGCTCTAGCCGTCTTTGATCCCATATAGCTATAATATGTATTTTCAATTTATTATTCCTGCCACAGTGTCTATTCACCTCAAAATTGTCCAGTTCACGGCGAAAAAACCAATTTACCACACCATACATTATGGAAATACAAAAATTGACATTCTAAGCACAACATACTTTTAGAAATTGTCCGCGAACGTGTTAATCACCCAATTGTCAAAGCTTGTTCGGATTAACGAATATATAATAAAACACATCTGTACACGTTTTTCCATTGTCATTGGTATATTGATTTATTTATACATACTAGAGTTGAAATCAAACGAGAAGAAGCCACACGCGTTATCGTTTGTCTCACGTTAAATGGGAGGGACCCAGAGAAAAGGAAATCTGCTTTCTTTGTCAGCGCTGACGACAGTGGCTTCTTCTCGTTTGATTTTTACTCTATCTCACATCACAACTGCATTCGGATTAGTGGTGACTCGGTTTAAAATCTTGATTTTGTCTCAGTTTTATACCTATTTTCAGTACCTTTTTTTATGTTGTAAATAAGTTAGTCTGGCTCACTAGGAGTTTAATATCTCATTGGAAAGATAACTCTAATTATTAATTACATACATTTCAATAGAGGATTGATGGTGGTTATCTCCGAGTATCAAATGCAACCTTCTCTGACTCCGGAGAATATGAATGTAAAGTTGAAAGCGCTGTTGGAGCGATTTCGTTTCAAACTCACGTAATAGTACAAGGTCCTCCCGGTCCTCCTGGTGGTGTTCAGGTGATGACAATACAGAGAAATTCTTTTACTTTACAATGGACTGACGGAGCTACTCATGGAATGCCTATTTATAGTTACACCATTAGTGGAAGAACTAACTGGAATCATACATGGGTTAATTTGGCTATTGGTGTAAGAGCAAGAGAGATAGATAGGTATGTAAGTTTAATTTTTTTATGTCAAATACATTTTTTTACAAAACAACTCCAGTTGTGGTACTTTTTAGCTTGTGTTTACTTTCTCCAAAAATCCATGGTATTTTACTCTTTTTGTTTTTTTTGTATTCACCTTCTCAATAGACATTTTTCAATTATTTATTGTCAAAAGTTGAACAAATTATTATTAAAAAAAATCTCACACATTTTTCCTGCAAGTCTTATTATAGTTTGGGGGGCTTTGATACTCTGATCTCTGTTGTAGTTTATTATAAATATTTTGCATAATTGAATCTTCTTCTAAATGACATGTATTTATAATACCATACAACTTATTTTCAGACATACTGGCAGGAAAGAAGCAGATATAGAAATAGTTTTAACTCCATGGTCAAACTATGAATTTCGTGTAGGTGCTTGGAATGAGCTGGGACCAGGTCCATTTTCTGCACCCAGTCCTAAATATCATACAGTCAAAGACAAGCCCAGGTTAGCCCCAAGAAATGTTGGAGGTGGAGGTGGTAAAATTGGTGATCTCACAATAACGTGGTCGCCACTAAAGCCTGAAGAACAACACGCTGCTGGCATTCATTATAAAGTATTTTGGAAACGTTACAACGAGCAAGTAGAATTTCAAAGTTTGGTATTGAAAGAATTTGGCAACACTAACACTGCTGTTGTACAAATTGAACCTAAATATTACTATACACAGTATGTTGTGAAAATACAGGCAATTAATGAAATAGGTGCTGGTCCTATAAGTGAGGAAGCTCTTATTTATTCTGCTGAGGATATGCCACAAGTTGCTCCTCAGCTTGTTAAAGCAGTAGCTTATAATTCCACAGGTAATTATTAATTTTATAACAATGTATATTTAAAGGTAGGTCAGTTCAATCAATCATCGTGGCAGAGACCAGAAAAAGTATTTGCTGATTCAAAATGTGCTCCATTACGCACTGCGTTGCAAAAAAAGATTATACGCTAAAGAAAATAACTTAATTTGAAACTAAAAATATCCATCATTTTTTGAAAAACCCTCGTCAAAACCAACAAAAGCGTTGTCAGAAAACAGTTATGAAAACATAACTCCAAAATATGGAAGGATTTTTTTAGGTTAGGTAGGTAGTTCAGGCTTTCAAACTGGCTCAACATCAAACAGAAAAAAAAATGTCTCCTGTTATTGGCCCAACCTAGATTCAAAATTAATTTGCCTTTTGAAAAGTTCCACGGTTATTTTATTCGTCATGAAATAATTTTCTGAAAGTTTATCAAACCGTTTCGAACATATAAAATTTGAAATTTTTGCTCACCTTTCACTAGAGTTCTGTATCTAGTATCTTGGACCAAAGGGCAACATGTAGCTAAAATTACAGCGACTCAATAAACCACAGTGGCGACAATTGCCGTCCTATTTATGAGCAAAAATATGGCGGCGGGGGCATGGCTTACTTCTAGATTCCTATTTCAAATTAGCAAGAATATGGTGGCGGGACCTCTATTCTCACCACTAAATGAAAAGGTTTATTGTGTCGCTGTAGCTGAAATCCATGGCGATGTTCTCCGGAGATGTTACCTCACCTCACTAATTTGTCATATTGGGAAGTGTGAAAAAAATATTTCAGAAACGGCATGCACCTACACTCAAAACCTGTATTACTTAAGATTGTTCCAGAAGAGTTACAGTAAAAAGGATAATTGGAAAGATAATAAATGCTCAAAAAAATTAAAATGATAAATTACCCACTTTGTATAGTTCAAAATATGTTTTAGTAAAGTTTCGTATAGCTTGACCTAGTCCCATTACTGTTTACTTGAGTCACATTTTAATGAAACAAAATTTCCAGTAGTAATATAACTAGTGCATAAAATATTTCCGGAAATTTTTGAAAATTTTGTCTGAAGCCAATTTTTTAACAAAATCATGAGTGCATAGCGCCTGAAAAAATCCCGAACCCGAAGGGTGAGGGATTTTTTCTTTGGCGCTATGCACGAATGGTTTTGTTTAAAAAAATTGGCTAAAGACGAAATTTTTTAAAATTTTCCTTAGGAAATATTGTATGCACGTGTTATATTTTGATAGGAAATTTCCCGAGTTTGAAACTTATTTACTACATTGTGTCGAATTCTTTTATTGATGCTGATTGCTATTGATCTTTTCCATATAAACTGCTTTTGTCAAAAATATACACTTTGACAGATTTCTGACATCAATGCGTTTTAAATGGAAAAACGGGCATCAATGTCAAAAATGACAATTCTGGAAATTTTCCCCGGGATATTTCCAAAAATTTCCACCTATTAATTTTGACAATTTGTATGCAAAATTTCCAGTGTAATTTGCACAAGGGAAATTTCCTTAGAAAAATAATCTTTTCTGTTAATTGTTAATTTTTTTCCAATGAGGTGAATTTTTGCGAAAACTGAACTTATTTATTTACTATAACTGACTTATTTATAGAAATAATGTACGTACCTCTAACTCTCGTTCTATTATTTACTTTTAAGCCCTAAATGTGTCATGGAATCCCATAGAAGAAACAAGAGAGAAAATTAAAGGCAATCTTATTGGACACAGAATAAAGTATTGGAAGAAAGATACTCGAGAAGAGGACAGTGTTTATTATCTTTCAAGAACTACACGTCCATGGGCGCTTATTGTGGGTTTACAGCCGAACAAAGAATATTTTGTTAAATGCATGGCTTATAATTCGGCAGGGGAAGGACCAGAAAGTGAACGATTTTTAGGTAAAATTATTTGACAAAATGACACAACAACACAAAACACAATTTTTAAATATGGTTCTGAATTTTAGAGCGTACTTTCCGAAAAGCCCCTCAAAAACCACCATCGTCTGTCAGAGTTTATGGCATTAATCCTTCAACAGTCAAAGTACAATGGCGTTATGTTCAGCCATCCATAGATGAGGAACCTTTACAAGGATATAAGGTGAATTTAACAAAAATATTTATTTCAGTTTCCAGGAAAATTTATTTCATATACCTTTTTTAAGATTCGTGTCTGGGAAATCGATCAAGACTTGAGTACGGCCAATGATACATTCATACCTTCTGGGGGAAGGTCAGAAGGATATGTGTCCAATTTATCTCCTGGAAAAACTTATAAAATGAGAGTGCTGGCTTATTCTAATGGTGGAGATGGTCGTATGAGTTCGCCAGAACTCACTTTTCAAATGGGTGCGTAATAAGAATTAAAACCAAGCAGAGAGCTGGGTAGTATGAATTGGCGTTCACAAAGCGAAACTCATATTGATCTTTTCTTTGCCTTCAAAAGGCCTCTAAACAAATTTTTATTTAAGGTCATTAATGGCCGTTTCCACCAACTAATTTAGGGAAGCCTTAATGATAAGTATTCCTTAAACTGACATTTCTCCGTGGAAAACTGTCATTTCAAGGAATACTTATCGTTAATGCTTCCCTGAAATAGTTGGAAACAGCCATTAGTCATTTATATGATAACGTATAGTATAGCTAACATGTTTTCATCGTTCATATTTGATATTTGTACAAATAATATTTCAGGAAGTAGGTATGTAGTGACACAATATTATATTCCTTTACTTTCAAGCCTCAACACATATTTTGTTGAAATTTATGGATAAGAGTCTCTAGCCCAGCTCTCACAAGGATTTATATGTACAGTAAACAAAATCTTGCTCATTTTGAATTATTTTTTAGGAAACCCCCAGTTCTTTCGTAGTAGTTCATCAACATCCAACCTAAGTGCACTATTAAAATGTCTAAGCATAGCGATTACCTTGAAAATAGCTTTATTTGAAATTTGATAACAATATGATATATTTTTTAGTTAAAACAAAAATATTTTAGTACAACAATTAAAAAGAGGATTTGATCTGTTTATTTATATGTATGTACTTTTAAAATTGTAAATATTAGTTTTATAATAACTGTGAAATGTTAAATGTATATGTAGAGATTATTTGACACAGATACAGCACAAATACTACCTTCTTGCAAAATGCGCAACAATACGATTCCGTCCACTTTTTGATATCATTTTGTATATATTATTGTATTGAGCTGGAAGTAAATTAAATAGTGTAAAGCTACTGTTTTCCTTTTTCATATGTTCATTTTAAAATGTGTGGAAGATATTTCAGGCTAGTTAATTTTATTTTAGATAGAGTTTTGCATTCCAGAATACATAAAATATATTCAAATTTCTGTTTTATGTAATACCTATTATAATACATACACACTAACACAATAATTAACGAGGATATAAAGTTATTCTTTTATAAATTTAAATCAACTAATCTAAAATACATTTGGTAGCTGAAAAAAATTAATAGTCCATAATACAATTTACTTTTCCTGAATTTGAATTTAGGAATTGTTATTTTGAAACAACTCTGTACTTTTGTACTGTACAAATACTGAAAATGTATTTTGGAAAAATCCCAAAATAACTTGTCAAACTTAAAACATAAGTTACCCACCCACACTGACTTTGATCATATTAATAAAATAATGATGAATTTATATTAAAAAAAAATGTCCACCTATTATATTCAAATTTTTGCAAAAATCTCAAGTTTTCACTATTGCTTCAGTCTTCTATATTTTTTATATTGATTTTTACTTTTAATAAAGTATACTTAATTTTGTATAACCGAAGTTTTATTGATTTATATTTTTTTTCTTTTTCCAAAATAGAAGTAAGAATCAATTGAGCTCACTTGGTGGCTTCCTTACCAAGCGCAGGTTTCAAGTTAGGATAGATGGAGCCTTGTCAGGCGAAAGAACTGTGAGGAGTGGAGTGCCTCAGGGCTCGGTTCTTGGATTGTTGCAATTTGCAAAGTCAAGTGAGGTTCCCTAAACGGTGTATATTGGTACTGCCAATAACTTCCAGTACCATTTGTGCCCGAGACTAGGGTGACAATGTCCATATTTTCACAAAAACCCTTTTCTCGATGAATCGCAATTATTAGTTTTAACCTTTCAAACCACCCTTAACGTAATTTGCAAGTCAAGTGAGGTTCCCTAAACGGTGTATATTGGTACTACCTATAACTTCCAGTACCATTTGTACCCGAGACTAGGATGAAAATATCCATATTTTCACAAAAATTCATTTTTCGATTAATCGAAATTATTATAGTTAACCCCTTGAACCACCCTCAAAGCCTGATTAGATTCATATGATCCTTATGATTTAGATTTTGGAAAACTTTCAAAGTTCATAACTTTTTTTTCCATTAAAGATAGGAAGCTGGAATTTTCATCGATTCTTATCGCAATAGAGGACTACAGTCCCTGGAAATTTAAACTTATAGTTCCAGAAATAAAATCGTTAAAGCAATATGGGGTGATTTATCAATTTTTCAATTTTTCCGAGTGCCTTTTTTCATAAAATCTGGCTCTAAATCTCAGAATAATTAAGTGTATGCAATTTGGGGAATCCCAAAGGACCATTAGGGAACAAATTTTTTTTTGAAAGTGACTACAATCCCTGAAAATTTCAGCTCATTTGGACAAAATCGTGTTAAGCAATTTGGGATGATTTATCAATTTTTCAATTTTTCTGAATGACAGAATGTATTCGATAAGCTTGGTGTGCTGTCGCTTCACTTGCACTGCAATGATGTTCTTCGCCTACCAATACCCAATGCCGTTGATTTCTGAATTATGATTTGCTGCTGGGTATCGGCTGCAAAATGTGATTTCAAGTAGATTCAGCTCAATGGGTTAATAGAATGGTAAATGCTCTCCAACTTTTACAGGCAAAATTGTTTTTGTGTTTTCCAGATGAAGATAAGTGTTTATAATTAATAGGTCTGTTTCTGCAGAAATCTCAAACCAGTCAGAATGAATTTCATTGGTTGAAACTAAACTACGCGTCAATTGAACTCGAACACCCCAATTTTTGGTCACTTTTTGAAAGGCTATAACTCAAAAACTAGCAGGACGATTTTGTTCAAATTTTCACGAGTGAAAGGATACTCTAATTACTATTTAATTTCCAGTTCTTAACAGATTTCCGGCCACCTGCTAAAAGATACAGGGTGAAACATAAGTTGGCGATTTTTTTACGAAAGTTTGGGTTCACCCCATGCTGCTGGAGGGAGGGTTGAGTAGATTTTTGGTATGCAGTTTAGAAGAGTACCTCAGTATCTCGGGACGTTTTTGAGATTTTTTGAATATCGCAGCCCGCACTACGATTTTATCTTGAATTATGCGATTTTATGTATAATATAGCTATTGACGTCATTATTTCTTTCGAAACAGACACTGCAATTATGGCGCATGTGGAAACACACTTTAAAACATATTATACGGGGTCATACAAAAATATACAGTGTGTCATCTATTTTTCTAACCAGAGGTATCTTGGTTATTATTAAAGATTCCGCCGAGAGGCCAAAGTCGCGCAATTTTATGGACAATATAACGAGGTTTAACACTGGCACCGCTGCTTATAGACATTGCAGGTGGTAAACCAAGAGAATTACTTCGGTCCGGGATGACAACAGAATTCTTTTACCGGTGCGACAAAACAGAACTTCTCAATTCTTCGCGAATAAGGATCGCGTTAGGAATTGAAGCCTCAAGATCAACAAAGACGTCTCCATGAGAGAAATTTAAGAGCCAGGCAGCATGTCCATTATTAAAAGCAGTCCATCGAAAAGCACGAATAAACTGGGCTAATATTCATAGACAATAGACACTGGGGGGAGTAGCTGAATGGTAGGGATGTTTGCTTGTGGATGAATGCAGATTCACGCTGTATCAGAATGACGGGCGTGTATTCCCAGCAAACACGAACTGACGGTAAACAATCGGCCGAATGCCTTGAACGATGGGTAAGTGACGGCATCGGCAAAATGCAGTTGGTCCCTTGTGTTTTCGATCATTGAATTCCGACTGTTGGCATTTGAACGCTGGCATAGCGTCGGGGCTTTTCTATTAATGATTTCAAATTATACTACTGACGTGGATATGTCTGAAAACATGTACGCACATACATGAACGCGCGAAAAAAAAAACATCAATTGGCGGTTACACACGGACGTGCATGTCTTAATACATATACGTGCATACATCAACGTGCAACCAAGAACGTGCATGGCGTTTTTGTACAGACGCTCGCACAAAACTGCAGTCTTGCTATTCCTGCTACAGTATTCCGAGTGTGCATACAAAATTGCACATTAAAAACGCGAAGGTATTTTGCATACACATTGATGTTTTTGTTTGCACGTGCATGTATGTGCGTACATGTTTTCAGACATCCACGTCCGTGTGTAACCGCCTAATGTGTATGCAGAATACCATCGCATTTTTGAACGTGCAAGCGGTAGAAAGACGATCAGGTGAATTTCTACGCATCAATCGAACTCGAACACCCAATTTTTGGTCACTTCTTGTAAGACCATAACTCAAAATCGAGCAGGCAGATTTTGTTTAAATTTTCAGGAGTGAAAGGCTGCTTTAATTGCTAATTAATTTCCATTTGCTAACAGATTTCCGTCCACCTGCTCAAAGATACAGGGTGAAAAATAAGGTGGCGATTTCTTTACGAAAGTTTCGGTTCACCCCATTCTGCTGGAGGGAGGGCTAAGTAGATTTTTGGTATGTAGTTTAGAAGAGTAGCTTAGTACCTCGGGACGTTTTTGAGATTTTTTGAATATCGCAGCCGACTACGATTTTATCATGAGTTATTTAAGAAAATGAGAAATTTAAGAGCCAGAAGGCGAGCAGCATGTCCTTTATTGAAACCAGCTCATCGAAGAGCACGGCTAAACTGGGCTAATATTCATAGACACTGGGGAGTAGCTGAATGGCGGAGATGTTTGTTTGTGGATGAATGTAGATTCTCGATCAGAAAGACGGGCGTGTATTAGTATGGAGAGAAACGGGTGAGAGATATAGAGCAGAATGTATGGAAGCAAGAGAGGCCTTTGGTGGTGGTGGCGTGACAGTTTGGGGGGTATTAATCGGAATGGGAAGACTGAACTGGTAATTTTAATGAGAGAAAGTATGAATGCAGAACGGTACCGTGATTTGTGTGTAAGAGATATTGCTGTTCCATATGCGAACAACTTTGGTAATGATTTTGTCTTTGTGGATGATAATGCTCGTCCACATCGAGCAAATATTGTTACCGAAATTCTTAGGAATAACAATATTGAAAGAATGGAGTGGCCTGCAAAGTCACCTGACATGAATCCGATTGAGCATGTATGGAGTAGAATGAAATTGAGACTGGCTGAACGGGTAAATGGTTTTGCACATTTGAATGAATTGGTGAATGCAGTGAGGCAAGAGAAGAGTGGGAAGCTATTCCCCAGAATTTAATAAGGGATTTGATAGATAGTATGCCGAGGAGAGTGGCGGATGTGTTTAGAAATCGGGGTGGGCCTACCAAGTACTAATAATCCTTTTGTGAAGTCCTTGTTAATTTTATTCTCGTTTTTGTTAAATTTCATTTAATATGTGTTTTGTTTTTATTTCATTTTAATAACGTCTACTTATAAATGTTTTTTTTTTTTTAATTTATTATTAATAATCTAATAAATCTCGCTAAAAGTGGCGATGATGAAGTGACATTTATTTTTCAATAACATCAACTAAATTCACAAAAATACAATTTCACAAAATTTCAGTTTTTTTCCGGATTTCGCTGGAATATTTCAAGCCGCCATTTTATTGGGACTTTGCCCTATAATTTAACCGACTTCGTATCTTCAATAATAACCAAGTTACCTCTGGTTAGCAAAATAGACACACTGTATATTTTTGTACGACCCTGTATAATATGTTCTAAGTATGTTTTCACATGCGTCATAATTAGGGTTGCCACCTGTCCGGTTTTCACCCGGACTGTCCGGTTTTTTAAAGGTTTGTCCGGTGTCCGGACGCATGATGAAAATGTCCGGGAATATCTGGATAACTGTATAATTAATAATAATTAATATTTTATATAAAAATACCTATACTTATTGAATGACGGGTGTCACGAACGTCTCCGATTTCCAGTTAGCGACGGAAAAGTGGACTTTTTCTGCCTAGGCAGAAAAGTTCGTTACTAAACCATTCAACAAACGTTATAACCGCAATTGATGAATATAAGAAAGTCGATTATGCGTGAAATTGTAACAAATTCGGAGAAAAAATTATATGCTTCACACGGCAAAAGATCAGATTTAATGCCTTGCACACACACAACAAATAATTATGTACAGGGTCATTTTTTATATTTTCCCACCCCCCCTTAACATTTTTGTGCCACTGTGTATAGAAAAAAATTTAATAGGAAAGTTGTAGTGCTTGAAAAATAGTTCTCAGAAATCATAGTTTTGTTTATACAGGGTGTTGCAAAAAATTTAAAAAACAAAAAAAAATAAAAAATTTAAATGGGACCCCCTGTATATTATGACATTTCTGGATTCTGCGGAAAATTCCAGACATATTTCATATACAGGGTTTTTCCCAAATGATAACTTCGGAACGCATCATCGTATGTTCCACTGTATAATTATTTTTATAATTTTCTTCTAAAAAGCCTTAACAAATATGGCATGGCCAATTTTGTAATTAAATTTTCAACAAAAAATGCCATAATATACCATGACTTACATTTAAGATTCGAAAGTTAACGTCAGTTGA